AGATTTCAATCACTTTAAGAAATAATCTCTAAGTCAAATTCCAATTAGGCAGCATAAACCATGAAAATTCAGAATAATTTAAAACTTTATTAAAAGTGGATGAATAATTTCTAATTGTTGTTAGTATAATTTCAGAGCTGAGCAAAGAGTTTCCAGCAATCTGATTGGTCGAGCGGTTCCTTATATGACGCTATATAAACCGCTCCACGCGGTTTATATAAAATGTTAAAATAAAATGTTAATAAATGTTACTAAAATGTTATGATTTTAGAAATTTCTCTGTTGTTCAGCTCTGAAATTATACTAAAACAATTATTCGCCTCAGGTTCGGTGAATATTGTCGAATAATCCCCTCGACTTCGTCTCAGGGATTATTCGACGATATTCACCTTGCCTTCAGCGAATAATTGTTAATTGGTCATGTCCTCAACGGACTGTTAGAGGCCAGGGCTGACTATTTCATATGAACATCAGATTTATTCAAATTTTAAATTAAACTCAATTTTAGATAAAAGGGTTTTTTGCCTGATGCAGGGTTAATTGTTTTTTATTTTCATCACCTGAGAAATTACAATTGTAAGTAACTTAAAACCCCACAAGCTGTGAATTTTTTTCCTTTTTTTTTTGTCATCAGCATTGGAGTCTTGAGAATTAAGAAAATGTTCATCAACCAAAGAAGCTCTTGACTGTTAAACAAATTCTCCTTGTTTGCACCCTAGGAAATGTGTGGAGAACACTGATGTTAGGGTGTTGAGGGTTTCTGAGAAGTTTTGTGTCAAATGCGCTGTGCTAACGTGCTCTGTTACATCAGATTATGTAACATTAGTTGCTATAAAGTGTGTTGTGCCTCAATTGAAAACTCTTGACTTTTCATTCACTTTGCAGCCAATCTTCCCAAACTGCCAGATGAAAGCACATTGGAAGTAGATTCATCTACTTCAAAGGTTCTTATTCAAAAATTTCATTCCTCAAAGACCTAAATAATCCTTTTTCACATTGTTTGCTATGCATACCTTAAATTTTACAACTGAATAATTGGACTGTGAACCCTTTAACTCCCATGAGTGACCAAAACAGAATTTCTCCTTACATTGCCAATACAATATCAAGCAGACAAGTGATGAGAAATAAAGAAAAATATCAACTAGGGAATTTTCAATTGATCAGATGCCAAATTCTTCAAAGTAACATCAAAAGAATTGTATGACAGATAGTAGGGAGAATTACTAAATGAGATCTCAGGAGTGAAATGGTTAGATCAAACACTATCTTCTTGTTAGTATTATTTTTTTCTTTGAAGGGTCAACATACTTTCATAGAACACAACAAATCTTTGAGGATCTGTGACTAGAATTTATAGCTGACCTTAGCTTTTAGAAAGAAAATGGAAAACTATCTGTTGTTAGAATATTCCCTCCAAACTATCAGTCCCCTAGAGTTACTGACATGTGCACAAATTGAATGTCTTGGCCTTGCTCTTATGTTGATAACCAACTGGTTTTCTGTCGTGGGCAGATAGGATTTTATTGCTTAATATAAAATATTTCAAATATCTACTTATACATCCTTAGGTTTACATCAAATATTATGCAATATGTTGGGAATTGGCTATAATTACAATCATTTTATATCTATTCACTTCATGTAAAATAATTTGCTTATTTATCTGTTTCATTTTGATATTTTACTTTAAAGAAAGGTGATTCAAGTAAAGGTCACAGTCACTTACCATAATTTTCAAGTTTAACAGTGTCACTCAATCTTTACTAACTATTTTTGATTAACATTTTTATAAGACTATTTTTTTTTCCTCTTAAGTTTGTTGAATAGGCAGAAATTACATGGGGTTTTAATCATTTATGGACAGTTTTTTGTTTGGGTTATCTTTTGGCATTCACCTTATTGTCCACTTTGAATTGTCACTCTAAAGACTTAGTATTGAGTAATTTTGGACTAACTATTTTTATTTTTGTATTTAAGTCTTCACTAAAGAATTTTCTTAATCTTCATATATTATTTATTTATTCAATACATCGTATGCATTTATGTGTAGATGATGGCAAATCGTGCACACTGCTGCAAGTATGCCGTCAAACAATACTTCAGAGCAACCAAGGCAATGCTGGTGACCATTGAAAGCGTCTTGTGAGTGCTCAATGTTCTGTGTATTGAATGATATACAAAGGTGTTCTGATGAGTCCTGTGGCCATACATCAAAAGTCACCATGGCCACCTCAAAGGAGATGTTCACTGCTGGAACAATTTCCATGAAACAGATGAAAATTTTATCAGTAGTTAAAAATTAAGTAGAGGTGATACTGATTAAAATAATTTGATTGTTTTACTCCTTCAAGTAATTAAGTAGTTTATCCACGAACATATATAATTGATACATGAGGACATGTAATTTATCCAGAACAATTCTTTGAACTAATTACTTCATTAGTGTGTCTTGTGTTATATATCTTTTTCTTACTTATGTTTATGCTACAATTTATAATAATTAAGTTTTATTAAAATACATGTTGTCACATAGAGTGAAATAGTACCATGTTTACAATTTAAAAAATTAATTTATATTGCTAACATTTGCTAGTATTTACAACTTTACTTGTAAGCCATTGCTGGGAAAAAGGTATTTTCAAAGTGCCAATCTGTTCTACAACATGGTAACGATATACGGTTGTGTAGGGGAAAAGTTAGATATTTGTTCAATTGTTTTCTTCTTATTACATGCACAAAGTAATGAATTAGAATAAGAGTTGAAGTTGTTTTTGTGGTTGCATGTAATATGTGCAATCGCACTTGTTGTA